CAAAAGAGGGAACACACAGGTGAGCGATCATCTACCACAGTTCTCTCTTCCATTGGTGACATTCACACACACGTGTATGCGTGTGTCTGGGCCGTGCGTTTAATGCGCTTACGCAACAGCACAAAGCGCAACACTGGCTGCCTGTGAACTCAAGCTGATAATTTGCCCGGCGGCCCCTGGACCTCATGAGAACTGCAATGATCACACAGCTCAGTCTCCAAATCATAACATGACTTTCAGTGGGGTTGACTTTTAGATAGCAATTTCTATAGGAAATTGTTAAGAAGCATCTCACACAAGCCAAATAATCTCTTGGTTCAAAATTTGCCAAATGTTAGCAATCCTTCAAAGGGACAGTCCACCCAAAAATGAACATTCTGTCATGATTTAGTCACCCTCATGTTGTTCCAAACTTGTATGACCTTCTTCTGTGCAACATAAAAGAAGATATTTAGAAAAATGTTACTACTGTTCAACAACATTTTGACTTTGGCTTTCCTTGGATTTTGGGTGAACCATCCTTTTGCCTAGGGATGCACTGACAGAAATGTCAGATACAGTAATTATATTAATGCTAGGGATAAAATCTATATTATTTTGTATAAATAAATAAATGTAAATACGTAATAAATAAATAGATAAATAAATGTAAGTATGCAAGTAAATAATCATGTAAATAAGTAATAAATAAATAAATAAAAACACATAGTAAATGAATAAAATAAAAAAGCATTCAAGTAAATAAATAGAGTGCGAAGTAAATAAATAAATAAATAAAAAGTATGCAAGAAAATCAATTGATCAATCATGAAAAGTATGCAAGTAAGTAATTAAGGAAACAAAAATCAATCGTTTTAAATACTGAAGTGAATTTAGGCTTTAAAACAGCATGAAAAACAAATATTAATTTTGAGACCTGCTTAATATTACATATAACAGCATTATTAAATTATTAGTGCAGGTAGCTTTCTAGGTATTATACTCCTTCGGTCTGCCTCAGGTGGCAACAGGATGTAGCTCACAGTAAATGTGTGCTCTTTTTGTGTTTGTATTCAAAGCCATCTCTGATTTTTTGCAGTTGTCAGCACAATCTTTATTGTGTCCATTAGGGGTGCCTTAAGGTCATCAGAGGCCCCTGGGCTACAGCATTACGGTAGGCCCCTCTACCCTATATATATATTTTTTTTTTTGTTTAGCTTCCTGACAATTATGTCCAATTTAAAAATTTTCTTGTTGACATGCCAGTTAATATTTACAACAATGTTCTGTTTACAATATGAATACAAGTGAACATGCAAATTCACTCTTTGCCAGAGGGTGGAGCTTGTGGAGCAGCATAATTATAGCCTTTACTTAAAGTAAACACTACGTTATTACAGGCATTATACGAAGGTAATATGAAAAGAAAATGCCATCAAAACTTTCCTGGCCGAAATGTGAGTTTACAGGTATGATTTAAACATTACACATAATATTCATTATTCATCATTAGTAGATTGGAACTATCACTTGGCAAGTTGGCATAAATGTGGGTTATTTGGTGGTTGCTAACTACGTTTTTATTTTGAAACATGCCATACTCAAGTTTAATTAATTAAATCATAGCATAAAGACATGTACACAGATTAGCTCTCATGCTAGGCTTCTTTACTAGCGCATTGTGCATTCCGCTCACAGTATATCAGTGGAACATACCAACTATACAAACTGTGTGGGGGAAACCTAAACTGAACCATTCACTACATATACTACAAGCAGGATGTCACTGAAAATGAGTGTGTGAGTTTGTTTACATAATGCTGTTGTCACCGCTGCAAACTCCCATATAAATAATTATTTGAAAAATATCATTTACCTGCAGCCAGTAGGCCCCTCCCAAGTGTAGGCCCCTGGGCTTCAACCCGTTGAAGCCTGTGCGTTAATGCGCCCCTGGTGTCCATATAGGAAACAGCTGTGGAGCAACAGTGGTCACAGCTCTCAGTGCAACACTAGAGTCATGCAGAATCTCTGATTTATCTCCCGCTGAGTCTGTCGCCGTGAGCGGCATTACAGAACGCCTTCCTGTTGGCCAGGCCTAGCTCTGCAAAATAGTGCCTGACGTACTGAAGAGTGAATATTGTATCAAACACACTTGCCAGTCCAAATCCATAACGTCTAGACATGTCATCCCAACCGGTTTAGAACAACTCAAACCCTCGGTACAGCACAACCTGCAACAGACAAATGGGTTGAGCCTCTAAATCACCTTAGGGCAACCATCTAACTTTTTTTTTTCCATTTGCAAGATTTGGTAATGGGTTTTGCAGCAGGTATTGATTAGCTGTCCAGGTGGCATTAATCTAGGACAACAGGAATATAAATGAAACATATGGCCGTGTCTTGTATACAACTCTTGGGGTGAACCACCCCCGTTACAACTGGGGCTCTACAGTAATAATCAAATGAGATAATGATTCCTGTCCCACACTGTCCAACTTTCACAACCTAATTGTTTCAGGATTTGAGAAATAAGATTGCGCAGATCCGAATCATGAAACAGATTGCATAACAGCAAAAGCGCTCATCCATCTGGAAGACACGTCGGAAGATAAGTGGAGTCAATTAAAGTTTAATTTTGGAGATGAAAAGGTAAAAATAGCTTTTTGTCAGTAATTTGAAGAAACCTGAAAAGACCCAAAATAAATCTACAAAACTCTCTACTCATCAAAGCAACCCCATTCTGTCAGACACCACTTCTTTAAAATAAAGGGACAAACACATGCACACTTACTCTGTCTGCAAAGCGCTGAGCTCTACAGAGACAAACATCAGCCATTTAACAATTTGAAAAGGTTTTTTATCTTAGAAACTAATAAAAATGAACCAATAGTCCTCTTGGCGAAGTAAAATGAAGAAATAACAGCACATGTATATAAAAACATTAACATTTTTCTGAACAAAGTATCTTTATATTTTGAGAACATGGATTCATGTTATACTTTTTTGTAAACAAGGATGGTAGAAAGATCAGAACCGTAATTTGTACTGTAGGTATTGTTTCATTAAACCCTGTTGAGTGACCTAAGAAGTGCATACAGTACTGTACAGTTGTTCTAAAACCTGCAGCACTGCAGTACAGATAAAAGGACAACAACACATTTGTCCACCAATGTCCTTTAACTCCTTCAGATCTGACCTTCAGGTCCAGTGTCAGCTTGTGTTCTGCTACAGTGGGGGCTGATGGCTGGAATAGCTTCATGAATAATTCGTGTTGACAGAGAAGGTGGCCTGGGAGAAGAGCGTAGCTTCAGTTCAGTGTGGCACAGATTACGAGACACAACTGCTGTTCAATACAGGACTACTGAGATAATGATCACAGGCTCCCAAGTCAAGTCAACAAGCTTCAGACCAACATAAAGAGAAAGAGAAGAGGCATGTATGGTGAGGTATGTACTGTATAGCGCAGCTTTCTGTAAGAATGCTGGATCTGTGTCTTCTGATATGAATGCTGAACACATCAGTGCTGCAGGAGAACTATCCCACAGACTGTTATAAACACACACACACACTGGAAGGATCTAGAGGACAAAAATAATCTGATAAGAGAACATCACACATTTGAGTTAGGAGTGTGATGATAACTGTTTCTCATTGCACTCAAGCGATTGTTAGATACTGCCATACTGTGCCTGGATTAGAATAGAATAGAAGAGAATAGAATAAAATAAAATATTGGCTATTATACAACAATTAGCTTTGGTCTATTTTGGTATTATATTTGTTGATAGTAGTGGTGTGCGATATCACCTTTTTTGATCGTGGACGATTAAAATGTCTCCACGATCTGCTTTTGAAGAAATATGGTAGTATCGTGCTACAGTACACACTCTATCAGCTGCTATTCTGGCGCCTCCATCTCAATATACTGGTCACTGGGGACAGCAACTGTTTGGTTACCCACATTCTTCAAGTCAAGTCAAGTCAAGTCAAGTCTGCTTTATTGTCAATTCTTCCTCGCTGAAATGATGGGCTATCCTCCTTCTTCAATATAACTTCCATATTCAACTGAAGAAAGAAACTCCTTCAGGTTGAAAACAACTTGAGAGTGAGTAAAATAACCATTTAAATTTTTTGATGAACTATCCCTTTAATGTTAAAACAACAACAACAAAAAACAGAAAAATCACTCACTGCTCGACTGAAAAACTTTAATACGGTTGCTTTAATAAGAATCAATGTAGGATACTTTATACAGTGAAGTGTATATAGTGTTTTATTTTATATTTGTTCATTACATTTCTTGAAAGCTACTGCTAAATACATCTACTGTACCTGAACACAAAAAAAGCACAGTTTTTTTTATTTCTATATCATGTATTTGTAATGTGTATCTTTGTTCTTGTATTTTTTTAAAGGGGTCATATGATGCTTTTTTAAAGATCATTATTTTGTGTATTTGGTGTAACAGAATGTGTTGACATGCTTTAATGTTCAAAAAACACATTATTTTTCAAATACTGTACATTTGATAAAGAATATCTCTTTGGTTTTGAGACTTTAGTCTTTGCAACTTCAGGGATCTTTATCTATTCACGAACAGCTTGTAACACTCCAAAGAGAAAGGAAAACTTGAAATCGCATCATATGACCCCTTTAAATAACAAAGATAAAATAATTACAAAGATTTTTATCTTTGCCCACTTTGGCCTAAATATCAGACATTCTTTTTGGCTGTACTGCTCAGACAACTTGCAAAATAGTAAAACCAACATGAAAGAATCCTGAAAAAATATTGTAATATGATATTTTTGCCATATCGCCCACCCCTAGTTGACAGTGTAAAAAAATATAAACAAAATGGCATAATTCTGTCTGAAATGTAAGTTACTCAATAATAGAAATGTTGTTTTTAAAGCAGTATCACACGAGCGCGAGTGCTGTTGGTCTGATTATTAGCACAGTTCATAATTTGAACAGCACTACTGCAAGAACAATATTTCTTTTATATAACAGTTCAATAAGTTAATATATAAGTCATTCATATTTTAGACAATATTGCCAGTTACTGTAATCTAATCAGTAAATCTCCACCTAAGTCGCTGTAAGATCTCCACCACAAATGTACAGACTCACAGTCTGTCTGGAACACGCAAACATGGACAAGCAGAGTGATAAAAAAAAGAGAGAAAAAAATGCTAAATCGTAAATTCGAAAACAGAAACAAACTGTTAATAATAAACATAATATTCTCAATTTTTCTCTACATCCATTTAGAAGCATTAAACTCTAAACATTCTAAACTCTAACATTAAAACCTAAGCTCAGTTATATCTCAAACCACAACACATTCTTTCATTTGATAAACTGCTCTTTACACTATCTTAAATTGCACTTTACGACCTTGAGTGCTCAAAGCATTACCATGGGAACAGTTGGCAAGACAAATTTGACAGGAATATAAAGAACAATGCCATAAGACTCTCAATTTTATATAATCCAGTTGTTGCTTTAAAGCCAAAGCTATGTTTTAGGCAGACAGATTGCATTTCATCCACAAAAGTTGTGTGGCCAAAAGATTTATGTCAGGGATATCAGAGATGTCAAGTGGAAAGTCTCTCTGTCTGTGTCTGTGTCTGTGTGTGTGTGTGTGTGTGTGTGTGTATGTGTGTGTGCAAACACCTGCTGGCAGAAGCTACAGCAGCTCTGCATCTGTCATCATTTAGACGCCCTCCACATGTTCCAAACCTGCATCAGTTTCTTTCTTCTGTTGAGCACAAAAGAAGGTATTCTGAAGAATGTTGGTAACCAAACAGTTGACAGTAGCCATTGACTTCCATGGTACTGTATTATTTTCCATAATATGGAAGTCAATGATTACCATAAACTGTTTGGAAGAACGTGAGTGCGAGTAAATGATGACAGAATTTTCATTTTTGGGTGAACCCTTAGGACAGAGCAGAATTAACTCTGGATATACTCTGGTTTAAGACCTGTTCAAGATCTGTGTTTCAAAATCTGCCAAATATTTTCATGTTTTGTCTGATAAGCAATAAATGGACAATATTAAAATTCTATAATATTTTATCTAAATAAATAATAATGATAAGAATAAACAGAAAACTATCATTTTAAATAGAGGTCGACCGATTGATCGGCCGGCCGATTAATCGGCCGATTTTTGGCATTTTTTAATGAATCGGCATCGGCCGATTGTGCAGCAAATTAGGCTGATTTATAGGCAGGCGCATCTGCGGGCAGCTAAGCATTGTTGCGGAATGCCGGAGAATCTCTTTCTGGCTGCGTGTGCGTGAGAGACGGAGCAACTCACACTCTGCAGCCGCTTCTTGTTCACACAAAGCTTCAGCTAATGATGGCAGGGCAAAACAGACCGTTTCGAAAGCGTAATTATGTTTTACCCTACTAGAATTGATGCCGGAAAGTTATCATATTCATAAGTGCAACAAGTAATTTGCATGTGAAATAGGGATATGCCGGTATCAAATTTTCATGTTGCGATTAATTGCTAATGCTTTTATCACGGTATACGGTATTATCACGGTGTTTAAATTTAGTTTTAAATAAGTGCTGTCATAATACAGTATAACAGGTTTAATAACTTTTTTCTTATAACAAAAATAACTGAACATTTAAATGCAATAAAGCAATACAGAAAAATGTATAAAGCTAAAAGTTTTACACAGATTAAAGTGCAAAAGAACTATAAAGACCAATAGGTATCACTTTACAATAAGACCTCATTAGTTAACCTTAGTTAATGCATTAACATTCACAATGAGCAATAGCTATATTTGCTACAGAAGTTATTAATTATTAGTTATTAAGTCTTAGTTCATGTTAGCTCATTAAATAACACAGTTGCAACTTTCGATTTTAACGTGTTATTAAATATTGGAATACCTAAGATTAATGAATGTTCACAGTGCACTCTTAAGCAGTTATGAGCAGCGGGCTGTGAATTATGTGTGAACTTTATTTTTGTTATCACTTGGCCATTTGACTTATAGCAGTGTCCAGTGTTTCCCATACATTGAGTTATTTGTGGCGGCTCGTCACTGCCATAAATAGATTTCCCAAAAGGCGTATACTTCGTTGAATAAACTGAGCACTGCACGTTTCAAAATTAAAATGCAGCGCGGGTGTTTTTATATGAATGTATCTTCGAAAAGAACCGGCTGTCTTCAGAAAAGCTTCAATGTCATTTTCATTTTGTCTTTCCTGTAATGCCTTATAAAGTAGTGTTTTTGACTGTGAGCGCAGTGCTTATTAGATTACAGCTGTTACCGGGGAAACCGCTATATTTCCCGCTCCAACAGCGCCTCCTGCTGGCAGAGAATGAATTTGCATTTGCAAGTCTGTGGGAAACACTGGTGTCTGTCAGCAAACATAAACAAAAAGTATGCTTCAGAACTGTTTTGAGAAGGTGCTTATGTTTTGAGCCATGTATTATTACTCTGAATTAGGCTACTACTACTATTACTATCTTGTACCCTGCAATAATCATGTACTCAAACTCACTTTTATGAGATGAAGGGAAAAAAGAAAAGAAAATCGGACAAAAAAATCGGCATCATATATCGGCCATCGGCTGCCCTGATTTCTAAATATCGGCATCGGCCAGTGAAAAACCCCTATCGGTCGACCTCTAATTTTAAATGCTACAATGAATGTGGGCATCACAACATGATAATGTACAGTATGAGAAATTGATATTCATTTTAAGATTTGTGAGATTACAATTAACATTGTTATTAAATATTTTTTTAAGATTAGCTTAAAAAAATTCTAATAACGACCAATATCTGGTTACTGATATAAAAATATATACACTGCTGTGCAAAAATTTAGAGGTCTGTACAATTTATTAAATATTTTTGAAAGAAGTCTTCTCATGCTCTCCAAGGCTGCATTATTTATATAGTACTAAAGCAATACTCAATTTATATATATACTGTGTGTATATATACAGTATATATATATATTTTTTTTTTTTTTTTTTTTTTTTTACATGATAAAACTTGCTGTCTCTAGCCAATTTACCTGTTCTCAGACCAATCACAGAAGTTGTTAATGCTGCTAAAAATGTTTGGCTACTAGGCATTGTGAGAGGAATTACAACACATATATACAGTACTATAGACATGCAAGGATGCCTGAGGGGAAATTGAGTGCTGTGTTATGATGACATCACAGATAGCAGCTACTCTTTCGTCTGTCTCTCTCAGGCGGGTCGATACCCATTTAATGGGGAACAATTATATTAATGCTTTAATAAATTGCTACATCACATTTATTTGGCAGAGCATCCAGAAGCAAAATATAAAGCCAGCTCCAGGGAGCAGGCTACATTTATATTACTATCCAAAGGTCCGGAGAGAAAAACAATTAAAGATCTGTTCTGAATCATAACCCCACATCTGTCAACATTTAACATACAAAATAATAATTAGCAATGGCAGGATTCAAGTGAAATAAACTCATATAGCTTACTTAAGCTACATGATCACATAATCACATATTTTAAAGGTGCTGACAGTTCTGTTAATTGCAGATTTTTAGGGTTGAAATAAAAGACAGGACACAGGAGGCTGTAGTCCATTAAATAGGGTCTAGCAAATGCTAATGAACCCAGTTCATACACAAACCTGTTAGAGAGTTAAAGCCTGTTATTGTTACAGTATAAAAGCCACTGAAACAGCATCTCAGCTACAGTAGTTATTCTATGATCAATTGTCTGATTCAGCCCACAGCACCTCAGAGGTCTGCTTCCCTAGATGTAACCCATTGTTCCTAAATCAAAAGGCTGCGGTGGGCATCATTATTATAGCCCCCCTGTGGACAAAGTAATGACTTGCTGCACTAGGAGAAAACTGAATCAAGAGGAAAGCACATACAGTAGCTCATCTTTAATGTCACCACCCCCGCGTTACTCACCGAGACCGGGGAAATCACTCGGTGATTCAGCTTCACTCACATCCTACAGTTCAGAGTTTTGTTTTGAGAAGACAACAGGTTAGCCATTAGCATCAGCGCTCCAGCAATAATATCCCTGCCCTTTTGTGTACAGAGCATTGAGAGAAACATGAGGTAAAATGCCAGTAGTGTAACTTTGAATCAAATGTCAAAGCAAAGAACACGTTGCATTCACATAATTAAAAGATTATTAGATCTTTTTTACGGTGATGCGTTTAATTTCTGCACTAATAACAGAACAAAAAAAGAAATGCAACAGTAATGACTGTCTGAAAACAGGTTTCCAGTAGATGTCTGGTTTGTGAACAAATTGTTCTTTTTAGTGAACAGGATGAACTAGTTAACCAAACTGGACTGAATTATCTGAAACAGTTCACGGCCCGAGACTACACTGATCCCTAATTTACACATTAAAAAATTTTCAGACATGCCTGACAGTCACTCCAACTCAAAATCCCGGAAACTATGATGCTGTTTTTAGCCAAAAGACTTGAAAGAGGGGGCGAAATATGCATTTCTTTAAGGTTTCTCATGGTCTCTGTAAAAAAGTTACACTGTTTGAGTTAAGACTTGTTTACTCACTTTATATGCTTTAAATATGTAAAACATCTGCCTTTGCACATCATTGCCTGCATTGGGTGTTTTAGTTGAAAAATGAATGTAAAGTTTAATGTGAAAAACTGATGGAGAAAAAAATGTAAATTGTTGCTTACACAAAGCTTTATCTGAATGTGTTTCTGAGCGTATATTTTTATCCACCGGGGTAAATAGCCGTGCTTTTCAGTGATGTCATTGCATGATGACATAAACTGGTGAATCGTGAAAATGAATCCGATTTCACATTACTTGTTTCCAATTTGTCACAAGTTCAAAGTATACTTCAGTACGCTAGGGTAAGCATACAGTGTGCATGTCAACAATATGACTTTCTGTAAATCTGTCTTTGAAACAATATGCAATGTGAAAAATGCTAGACAAATAAATCAGACTTGACTTTGGGCTTTAAACCTTTCCAAATGCTTCAGTCTGTCTTTAGATAAAC